ACTGCTTTAGCGCTGGTACTGGTACAACAGTAAATGCTGTGCAATAATGTGTGCTCTTATAACATTACTATTGCGTTATCAATAGTCTAATGCAGTAACACCCATTCCCATATCATTATGTTCCAGGGACTCGATGGGAACGTTACAGGCACTAGTGCGATAAGCGTACAAGATACCGTGCCCTTCTCCTTCCACCTCCTCCTGCACCTTCTTCTCTTCTGCTTCTCTATTCTACTTTTACCATAACAGGAAATACATAAATAGATTTGGGAATGATTCAAGAGCTAGCTACATGGATTGCTAAAAAAATCTGGTTGACACATTGTATAAAGATAGGGTTAAATGATTTGAGAGTGTTTAGACAAGTCTGAGGAGAAGAAGGTGAGGGCAAAATGTCAGAACTTGGATTTTTGAAAGTTAAAAAGCAAACAATGAATTCAAAAATACAGGTGTCCTTCCATTTTCGTGGACTTGGAGTCCACGGTTTTGCCCGTTCATGGGTTGGGGAGGGACACAATGGACAAAATGGGGCAAGCGCATTTGCATGCTGCCATTCAAGTCAATAGGGCTTGAATATTGGCAATTTTCCATTTTCGCGCAGGAGGGTCCGGAACAGACGAAAATGGAGGGGTGACTAAAAATGTTGGTATCTCAGCAGACCAGCAAGTGGTTCTAATGTCTAATGCTGAATCTCAGGGCATCTAAATCTTCAGTGTTGATAAATATGATTCAGTCATAGCAAAGTGTGGCATATATCTTAAGACCAGAACTACTAGATACTAATAGCAACAGCAATTGTAGTAGTAGTATGAGGTGCATCTGGTTTGTAGGAATATTTAGGGAGGAGGACCCAAACATGGATTTTGCTGTAGGCCCAGCACCAGCTCTTGACATCTCTGCAAATGAAAAATGATGAAGAAAGGCCATATTGATTATTTTCTGGTAAATGAAAGGGGATCAAAAGGAACAGTAAGAACCCTTAAACTTCTTAAGACTCCTATCATTCCACACTCTATGAAACGTGGTAGCAATTAACTCCAAATTAGCTAATTAACTGGCTAATGGCAATACAGATATAAAACTGAAGCATGCTTACTTATTTGGAGAAACTTAAGCTTATCGCACAGCACTTAAGGAACAGGAACGGAAAGGAACAGAACGGAATGGAATGGGGCAAAAATGCATGTTACTGGACAGGAGAATGGCACTGATGCTGCCGGGATTCCCCAAGCTATTCCCTAGCCATTCCTTGTAGCTGATTTTTGAAGAACGATTTTGAACCGTCCTTCAAAAATCGGCTGCCAGGAACTGCTGGGGAACAGCTTGGGAACTCCCAGTGGCATTGGTGGCGTTCTCCTGTCCAGTAACATGCATTTTTGCCCCATTCCGTTCTGTTCCATTCCTTTCCGTTCCCATTCTTGTAAGTGCCGTGCGATAAGCTTAACTCTTCTGCCAGGACTTCTACTGAAAGCCAAGTTGCATGGCGCAAAGAACAAATCCTTTGAAAGACACCACAGTCTTTTTGTTTGTTTCAGGCCTGCATTTGTTTGTAGAATCCAATATAACTGGTTACAACAGACCAATTCTTAATGGGATTTAAAAAGAAGAACAAAACTATTCTCCATGTTTCCCTAAGTGATCCTTTTTTCCAGTCCAGTCACCTCAAATATTGCACATCTTCCAGCATTCTGCTTTATGTACATTTGAATAGCACTTAGGCCAGAAGATGGAAAAGTTATTTTGGGGGGCTATAATTTCCAGAATCCCTCAATCAGCATGACTGCTGGCCATGGGCATTTTAAGAGCAATAGTCCAGGAGTTTCTCCAAGAGCTTCACCATGCACAATCCTACCAAAGTGAAGCTTAGCTGAAAAGTTTAGAAGGCTACCACACTACATTGTTATAGCACTATTGTTCTACTTTTACTGCTATGGCTACATCCTATGGCATGATGGGGTTTGTAGTTTAGTTAAAAGCTCTCTGGTGGAGAATTCTGAATGCCTTCTCTAAACAGCAAATCCCTGGATTCCACAGGAGGTAGCCATAGTATTAAAAGTGGAATAATAGTGGTATATGCTGTAGTGTGGTTAAATGTTTCTTTTAATTCCTCTGCTTCACTTGGATTGGGTGGCTGTTTTTTACAAGCTTGTATTTTGGTTACTTTGCTTTTC